AACATCATTCCTACATTTTCAATAAGTTCTATCTATGCGCTGATTTTTCTTGGCATTGAACATTATATTGCTGAAAATTTACCAAGCCAGTATTTAGCCTTCCATTTGATTAGTCTTATATATACTATCGCTGTTTACATTTAAAGAAAAATGTGTTCAATATCCTACTCGACTGATATTTATTACCTGTTCTAATTCAGCTATGTTTGTTATGTCAATATATTCAACGTACATGTGCTGATTTCATCGTTGGTCAAACAATATTATGCTTTGATCAAAGTCATAAAAAAATGAATTTCAGATTAGTGACGCGACTAGAATATAAGATCAGGAAGGTTTCAGTCTTACCACTTCAAAATTTGAGATATTTTTTTGTCATAAAACATGGAATGGATTATTGTGAAATGATCCTTTCAGTGGTTTTTAGGATTTTCAAGAGAAACTAGAATTGAATTAAACAATAAATCTGAGCTATTCACGAAATAATGACTTTGTTTCATAAATAGAACACACGACAATTAATTGGACCTTAGTTGTCTTTCGAAAGAAAAAAAGAATAAATGAAACATTTTTAGCATTCTGAATAAGTTCCTTCATATGGAATAGTAAAGTCTTAAAGCTTAAATCGAATAATATACTAATTATGTTTAAAACATCATTTATATGAATGAATTACGAATATAATTTCGATTTAAAGTACAAATAAATCAATTAGAATTTTGCAAATATCGAAAGATTAATCGAACTGCATTACGATGCATTTCCACGTTTCTGTTCCAATCTTGTTTCAATTCTATATGTATTACTAGTAAGAAAGTTTGAGCGAGAAATTTTGACTTCTAATTGAATTAGATATTATTTGAAACTATTTATTATTATCTTTAAGACTATTATTACAATGAGCAAAGATACTGAAGTAATTATCACATAAGACCACATTCAAGGTCAAGTAGTTAAATATCAACATATTTTCCTTTATAAACAAAATTATCTCTTAGTTTCCTAACATATGGATGTATGTGTCATCAATCTTTTGAGATTTCGATTGATTTTTGTTCATCTAGGTCTTGTTTCCAACATTATATGAATACAGACTTATATTATTGTGTTTTGTTGATGTTTTCATACTTTTCAATTGCGTAGTTTTAATAGCTTGTCTCTATATGTAAACTTTAACATAAATAGATTGAAGGGTGATAGCTGATGAAAAAAACAAATAAGTCAGTGAGGAAAAAACAATGGCCTATTCTTTTTCTTTTCTTCATATATTTGCTCATGTGAGAAGGTAATCTATACCTATTTAGCCGCACATCAATTCAAATTAATCCTTCTTTTTCTTCCTCATGGTTTTGTCTATGCTTATTTACATTTATTCAAAAGAGTATAAAAAGCATATTTATATATCTGCTTGACTCATTATATATTTATTCAATAAAGACGCAATTGCATTACGTTAATATCTTATTGCAACGTAAGTATTACACCGTGTTGTATATATGCAGCTCAAAGAAATATTTGAATTTCATTATTTTTTTCTAGAATGAATTCTATGATGATCTTCATGATAAGTCTATTTCTCGTGATAAATACTGTGGCAAACAGATTTCCTACGCACATCGACTGCTTGGAAGGCAGAACAATTAAATGTTGTAAAGGATATGCTTTAGAAGTAGTTAATGAAACAACAGCAAAGTGTGTTAGATGTCTTGGAGACAGAGAATTGTGTTATAATAAAAATAAACGATGTTGTCCAGGTTTTCATTGTGGTTTTGGTGGTGTTGTTCTCGCAACACCAGTACCTGGTGCTAGATGCTATTCTGATCAACTTAGAGGTTAAAAATATCTGATACACAAACTATCAATACAAACTTATCTCTAAATTTTTGGTATCCTTATATCAAAATTTTTGAAAAAACAAATATTTAATCAGTGATTTTGTTTTGTATTGATTGTAACGAGTCATATGTACTTGAATAATTGATTTATTATTTTTTTGCGGAAATTAAATAAAGTGCTATTCTTTTTTCGTTCGAAAGCTAGTGTGTCTTCAATATTTTCTGAATAATTTTTGAATCTAATGCAATAGAACATAGAATTCAACTATTTCGGACTTCATTAATATAGTTGAAATTTTAATGTTAATGAGTTGTTCAATAGTTGGTCAAATACTTCATGTTTGTAATGGCCTTTGTATCAAAAACCCTTTTTTTTATTACATTTGATGGGGTAAAGCAGCATGATTCAGCTTTGGTTTGAGTGTTCTCACTTCAAAGAAAGAAAGGAGAATTTCTCTTTCGTACGTTCTCATTTGTGTTCAATCTTTTTTCTAGAAAACTGCCCTCAACTTCTGTTTAGCGGATTTCTTAAATTTCGATAGTGAAAATGCGAGAAAAATGTATACAATAGATAGTTTTTTTTCTTGGTTTTTCAAAGAAAAAAAGTCAATTTCTTCAAAAGAAAAGGTTTTATTTGAAGATTCCATACAAAATGAGCTATTTTTAAGAGCGCGGTCAGTTGTGTTCTATCGACCTCAAATGCACGTCAGCCATTCTACCATATTCAACGATTTTTTTCTAAGTTATATTAGCCCTTGTGGTTAAGTTAGCGAACTAGTTAAAAATTTGCTTCGATGTTTCACTTTCAATAGTTTTCGAAATTCATAAAAGAAAACAACAAAATAAATTTTTGCATATATTCAAAACGCAATATTTCATCTCCAGATCAGTAGTCAAGAATCCTATGACTATGATATTAATTCAATTGGAATCCTTAATTTAATACGTTAACCAAGAAGCAGAAAAAGTTCAATTATGCCGCAGTAGGTTCTCATTGGAAATGTTTTACTGTATCTCAAAAGACTGATAAAACAAAAAAATAACTGCGAATGTTTTTTTTTTGAAATCTATGTTTTCCTGACATTGAAAATTTACAATGATTTTATTAGATATCAATAATATGACTTGTTTCGTCGTATCATCATGTCATTTTTTTTATTTCTATATGAAAACTATTTATCGTTTAAATTCATTGAAAAAAAAAAGAACAAATTTTATTTATTATTTAAAAAAGAAAAAAATAAGTTCTATTTTAATAGTCTTCTATAATTTTTGTTGGTTCATCACCATATTTCTTTTCAATTTTTACAATTTCTCCAGTTTTAATATTTGCTGTAACTAAAGCAATAGCTTGTGCAACTTTACAAGCATCAGTTTCAAATTGTCGAAATTTAGGCATAGTATCAAATGCTTTTCCATCGGACCACATATGAAAATATCCAGCAAAAACACCAAAATAATTTAATGATGTATGTTGACGTAATAAATGTTCAATACGTAAACGTTTCGCTTCACTAAATGCATATATTTCACCTGGAATATAAAATGGTGCACGAAAAGGATGATGTTGTAAAAGAACAATAGTTGAAGATTGATTTTCAAGTTGTTTTAATTGTTCTTCAAGCCATGAAAATGTACCACCATTAAAATCATATAAATCAGCACCTGGCATTGATCCTTTATAACCAAGTGATGCGGCAGCATGATGACGACTACTCCAATCAAGTGAAATGAATACCTTGAGTATTTTATTTTAAATAAACTTAAAATTAAAAGAAAAAACAAAGATATGAACATACATTATTATTTATTTGCAAACGGTAATTTTGAAACCATGATAGACATGAATGTATTGGATTCCATACTGTTCCATTTGGATAATTAATTATATTTGATTGATTAAGTATATGTTTAAATGTTTCAGCAAATAGTTGATCACCAACAGGTGCTATATCTTCCCATGTTGAATTGTATAACCATTGATCATGATTACCAATTATTGGATAATATGGTACAGTTAAATTATTTAAAACATCACGAACTGTTGTATATTGACAAGGCATAGCATGATCAGTTAAATCACCAGTAATAAAAACAGCTTGTAAATTTGTTGTTATATTTTCTGCAAGTTGATTTATTTTAGCTACTGCTGAACGTGCTCTAGCTAATGCATTTGCACCTGTATCACCAATATGAATATCAGATAAAAGAGCAAATGTATAAAAATCTGTATTTTTTGAATTTGCATGAATATACTCAAAAAATAATACGAAGAAATATATAGATATATAACGACACATCATAGTTTCGAAGATGAATGAAAATTTCATATAAAAATATATTACGTATATGAGAATCAAAACATGTGTGATTGATATTAGAATAAAAAAGCGATGTTTATCAATTAGAACAAAAAAAAGAAAACAAGTCTATATGGATGAATTATTTATTTATTTATATATGTATTTATGTATTTAATAACAACAAAAGCTGTTAGTGCAATCCTTGTGAGATTAAAATGTGAAACACGATATAGTTGCTGTTGTTAGTGACAGACTGTTTGTTTTATTCTATTTATTTTGAGACACATTTCTTAGTCATCGTTTTATTTAATCCTTCAGAAATGTAATAAGGATGTAGTTCATACATTAGAACGAGACATTATTGATATACGATCTGTAACTGTCTATGACGGAGATGGGTGTCAATACATCTATTATGGTCTATGATGGTTTCTAACTATAGAGTCTGTGGAGTAGTTCAAAATTTTATCCCTATACTTCAACATTCTTTCTAGATTGTGTTAGAACTCGAACAAGTACTTGTGATAAAATTCAAGTATTTCTATTATAATTTTTATATTTTATGACATAAATTTATACTCAATACGCTCCTTGTATTGGTCTCATTAAGGCTAGAAGATACATGTATACATTTTGCTGACAAAAGTTTTATTTCGTAGACATTTATCTTCAAGTGTAGCAAGTACTAATATTTATTGTTAGTTGTAACGAGCACAATCATTCCATTGAATTTGTATGTCATACAAGATTTAAAGATATTATTGAGAATGCACATCAAGTATCAATCCTAGCTCTCGATTGTGTTTCATAAAAAGAAAATCTTATTTTTTTGACATGTTTATTAAAAGCAAAAAAAAGAAATTTAACATCTAGCATAAACTTCACCTTCACGAATATATAAAACAAATCGTTGATCAACAGGTAATGAAGCAGGTACTGAAATTTGACGATGTTGTGGTAATATCTCATATTGTGTTGGTATATTTGTTCTTGTATTTTTTATCATACATTCATTTGGTGATGGTATTAAATAATGTTGACAATAGGCTTGTTCTAATGCTTCAAAATGTTTATAATCATGTCGAGGATCTAATCTTTCAAATGTAACCTTTGCTTTAATTTGATTATGTTCATAAAAATTATCAGCATCTATTCGATTAACATTAACACGAATATTAAGTTTAGAATGATATGGTGAACTTGTATGAAGTGATATACGTGGAGTACGTTGTTTTGTTGAATCATTTTGATTATAATAATTTTCATCTTTCGATGGTTGAACAATTTCATCCTTCCAATGTACACTACGTCCACGAGATTGATAAGGACGAGTTGTATTATAAGTAGAACGCATTGGTATAGCTACTCCGTTAACATAAACACTTATATGATGAGAATTATTGATAGATGAATGACGAAAATATTCAAAATCACTTTCTTGTTCAAATTGTGAATCAAGAAAATTTTTTATTGTATCTTCTCTTTCGAATCTTGATAAACAATATGATGATGGTGATAGAATTGGAATATCAATATCACGAATAGATGATGTTGTTGTACAATATAAATCGTTGAATGATTGCTGATGACTGTCAATATCTTGTAATGTTGATTGTGAATCGTTAAAACATTCTCTAAATCAAAGACAAAAAAAAGAAGAAAACATCAACATTTATTCAATCTATAAACAACTACTTACTCTGAATCAACATAGAAAAAAAATTTCACAAGTGTATAAAACATTTTGTCTTACGTTATTTAACAATATGACTAAATAGGTATGTCTCATAAGAAAAAAAAAAAAAAACAATTTTATGTTATTCTATTCGCAATTAGATTTTTGCATGAACAAAGATATTTGTTCACGAGACATAAATATAAAAATGTTATGGATTGGATTACATTTATGATCCATCATACAAATCTTGATATAGGATATCATATAAAAATGAATAGTATTCGATCAATTTAAGTGTGAACTATATTTATTATCATTACTTATTTTTATATTCCTCTGAGTATGTGAGAAAAAAAAAAGAACAACAATGAGAGAAAAAAAAAAAAACAATTTCATTTTGTTAATGTACATATTCAAAAAAAAGAAAAAGATCATGTTTGTTTTTCTACTCGTAACAAAGTCATATTATTTTTTTATTCTAAACAAAAAGAATCTTTTGATTACTTGATCGTATTATCTTTATATTGAAATTTATTATAATATTGATATGAATTCATAATTATTTTAGATTCTTAATATTAATTAATATAGATCTTAATTTGTTATTAAATATTTAAATTTTTAATCGAAAGTGAATACAAACGAATAACAAACAAATATGATCTAGATATTTGAACAATACATTTAGTTTTATTATGATTGACTTTTCTTCTTTTTTTTTTTTTTTTCTGCGCACCTGTCACATCATATCAATCAAGATGATAATGCAATCTTTTTTTATTTTAATGAACAGTGATAACAAGCAGATGAAAAGAATCTATACCATGAACAATTAGAGATATTGTTGAGTATAAGTTACATGATTGTTTAGACATATTATGTTATTATTTATGAGCAATAAATCTATGTTACTATGTAAATTTTAAAGATTATTATTTACGTCTTACCTGTATTAACGATTATTATCGTTTTCCGTTTTTTTTACTTCTTTTCTTTGTAATTGTTGTTGCTCGATAGAATCTGATTATATTACTGTTTGCATACTTAATAATGATTCTTTTTTTCTCATTCGTTCTCGTTTACTTTACGCATAGTTCTGTTCGTAAACTTTTCAATGCACCATTTTATTTTTTTCAGATATATGTGCATATATATATATATGTTTGTCAATGAAACCGAATTATGCCAAGAAAAAAAAAAGAAAGATGATGATGAAGAAATATGTTGACAAGTGTTTTGACCCTCAATGTTGATTAGAAGATATACAGGTGGATTGTTTTTTTTTTAATCTTCGAATTGAAAGGAATGAAAAAAAATTTTTGTACAAAAAAAAAAGAAGAATAAAGTTGTTGATGTATTTTTTTCTAGTCGAAAACCTTGAAAAATATTTTTCTTATGAAACATTACTCTAAAAACAACTCTTTCAATAAATAGAATCATGCATATGTATAGTAACTTCGTAGTTGGTAAAACTTTATTATGTCAATATCGATAGCGGTACATAATTACTAAGATTATGGTTTTATATTGACATGTACCTGCAAAGTACTATATGTGAAATTCAACATTATCAATCATGGAATAACCTTGGACAAGTCGTGCACAACTAACTATTTTAAATTATCCTTTTGATAACATGCTGATTACTGAGGTATATCCTTGTAGCTAGTATTTTGTTAGTCAGTGTGTTTGTAAAACTTAAGCGATTGTGTGAGAAAACTCAAAATCAGGTAAATCTTCTGTCTTGAGTAACAACTATTAATAGTTGTGAGAAGGTTCATGAAACTTTCTCTAAGAATAATTGTAAAGAAGCTGAAATGCAATCGTATTGTTCATTTCTTCTATGTCATTTAAGAGAAAAATAGAAAAGACTTTTGCTTGGTTGTCTCTCATCAAGTCTTAAAGTTCATTGTTTCAACTTCAATACAGTCTTTAAATTTATTATTACTGCTTCACGACTATTCTTTATGGAATAAAGTACAATCATATTGTCAAACATGTTCCTTATCGTAGTAATCAGTTTAATCTTTGTCAAGGAAAAAAGAAATAAATTGAATTCTTTGGTAGTTCGAAAAATATAGAAATACTGAAACAATAAATTCTTATGAGTTCTTCTTACGTTTCATGGTTAAAAGCTATATATTAATAATATTCTGTATTCTGAAGTTGATTTCGAAGCAGGTGAATGCATTATTTTTTTTGTAAAATGAGAACATAATACACAAGTAGTATGATTATATCATATAATCGTGAAAAGGCAAAAAGATTTGAAAATTTCACCTAATTTCATGGTCATATAAACAAATACGTTTTATTCAAATGTATAATTGATAATAAAATTTTTTAAAATATTGTTGGTTAAAATCTTCATAATGATTATCATGTTGAAAGTATATTCTTATCTCAAAATATATAGGTATTGATCGAAGGCATAAAATAAAAAAGATTTTGGTTGTTTGAGCTTTTGAAATCTATTTGAAGACATGTACTACTGGATTTAAGAATGATGAAATTTATTGAAAAACAAAAATATCTTGAACGACTCTTATTGTTTATAACCGTGAAAATATAAACTCTGATTTCATACAATATTTTGCGAATCAGTCTATCGAATAGTGACATAATAAAAAAAAACTGTTGAAGAGTGAGGGACTCAGCATTGTAATCATGTTTACAAAAGAGATTCAGGCGTGCCGGTAATGTTTCTAGAAGAGGATTTGCCTACAATTACTGTAGTGAATAAATTACCATTTTGTGCTGTTATGTTTCACACTTGATGTTGATTATTTGTGCTTATCTAGCGTCTTAACTCCTAAGATTTCTGAGAATTCTTTTTTTCAGTGAAATTTTTAACAAAATTTTGTCGTACCGTTTAGATCACTTTAACAATAGACTTTTCGAATTTCGACTTGAAACTTTGCTCCAATTAAAATCTCAATGAAAATATTGCATTATGAATGTTTCAGATATTTTCATTGCTTCTATCGTGAGATATGAATATAAACATAAAAATTGCCTTTCATACTATAGAATTTTCATCATCCATATCTTCTGACGCAAGCAACGCAAATACATGAAACTGTCGTAAACAAGTAGTCCAATGAGAACATTACTTATGTCAAGTTTGAAGTCAAAGCTCGAAAGTCAACTTTCAAGGTAATCTGATGGGTACGATTGAGAGTTTTGTTGAAAACATTGATTTTGTAAGAACAAAAACCTTGAAAACTAAACCATTCTTGATTTTTTCAACGCTCACTAGTACTCATCAAATCAACATAGCCTCGATCCAAAAATAATTTAAAACATCAAGTGGTTCCTTCATTCACCCATTCAACCCAGAAACAGCTATGTGCTGATAATTGTTTCACCAATAGTCACTATAGATCGATGTAAACGTGAGTGTGTGTGAAAAATATAACATTGTTTATATCATATGAATAGACTTTAGATACAATTTTTATCTAATAGATGATGATCTACACGTAGTTTAAATTTATTCTTCGAGATTAAAAATAGTTTTAATTACATTACCAGGAAAGTGTTAATGTGCTCTACAAAGTATACGTCATACAGTCTACTTTTGGGGGAAAGTGTCAAGCAGCATGTATTTGGGGACTAGCACATTCTGTACATTTTCTTCTTGCTGTATACACTTGCAATTAGAAACATCTATGTGCAGAACACGTATATAATTATTGTTTATGTAAAAAAAAAAGACAGGACAGAAAAAAAACATATCGGTAAAGCACATAATATTGATTTAGTCCACTAATTTGATAGTGGTGAGATTCTTAATTAATTTTTTTTCTTTTCTGCCTTTATTTTTATAAACAATGATGATGTGCTTGTTCTGCACATGTATCAATCTCTTCGACGACAATATTACCGAGAAATTCACCTCCTTTCTTCGACAATGATGTTTTTAACCAAATACTAGGTCACGTCCTCAACAATGTATAAAACTCATCTTAACGTCTATGTTTGGAACTACGGACAGAGTTATATATTGAGATTGACTATCTTTAGAATGTCGATATAACTTGAACAATTGCAAAAAACTTTATCATTTATATCAGTTCAGAGATTCGGATATTTGTTAGATTTAGAATTTCGTAATTTTTCTGAGAAAATTTGCTTTTGAACCAATTGTTATACGAAATTTTCTTACAAGTCGGTTTATGTAAGACGTATGACACTTAAGGTGTAGGAAAAATATTTCTGTTATGTTGCGTTCTGTAACAAAGATATCTCTTTGAGAGTTCATTTGAAAACATATTTCACTGTGAAAATTGTAGAACTCAAAGCTCAAAAGAAGAAATTGGGTTGTTTCTGTTGTGTGAAAATTTTGAATAAATTAATATTAATGAATTCTAAATTATAGATGAAAGTCGATTGAATACGTCTATTGTGTTCTGTTCTATTTCTTAATCATTTTGATGAAAGCAAAAACTCGATTTGAATGTTTTTATTGTTGAAACATACTGTATAAATGGATTGATTGAAGATTTTTTTTTTTTTACTGATAACATTTATCATGCTGTACATTTGTAAAAAGTATGAAAATAGCAAAGCGACTAATAACAATATTTACTACTGCTTTGTAATTAGGTTGTCATACAAGCTGAATAGACCAATATAGAGGTCCTTGAGAGAATATTTGTGATAAATGTCTTGCTCATTTTCTTTATTTGTGATGTTATTACTGATATTATTCATATCGACGCTAAATTTACGAAAGAGAACCTGGCCACGGTTGGTTACCGACGCACGAAAAGAGGGAATCGTTCTGTCGATAAATGAGTGATGTTTGACTGTTTTGCATTTAGTTGCAGTATTTGTTTATCACAGTAAACACAACATTTATATTCATTTGGTTTGGACGAGGTAGGATTCTTCTTGTTCATGTATAAAGTAATTCATGAATAATCATGTTTCGTTTACTACTTACTTGATTTTTACGCTAGGAAGTCGTTGTGTTATTTTATGAAATTTGGAAGTCACTTTTGTACATTTCATAAAGTAGAAAAAAAATCAAATCAAATGTGACCTATTTAAGAAAAAAATT